TTTTTTTTTTGAAAAAATGCGGTGGTTGAAAAATGGAATCAAGGCAAAGCAGTGCACTCAATTTGTAATAAAATTTCAAGGTACGAATTGACTTTTAATGCCCTATTGTATGCGTTTCCTACCTTCTCACATGTACCATCACAGTCTTATTCCCGTCATCTCGAAGATGTTCTTTTTAAAGCGACTTTCATCCTAGCTCGGATAGTGCTGCAGGCATCTGGCATCGTGATCTTTGCCTGGTTCTTCAAGTAAGGACGACAGAGCAGTTCCAGTGCATCTTCAGCCAGAGAGCCATTTTTAATTTCCACCATTTGCTGGTTCTCCACTGTTGTTCGTCCTGTTCCTTCGGAATCCCTCTGTAGTCATGTTCTCCTGACATATTTCCAGTATATATGTGGGCGAACGTCTGCGCTTGAGTACGTAATCTGGTGATCGCGCTCCTTGTGATACGTATTCTCTTATGCTAATTGTAGGCTTTAGCGAACTCAAGAATGTTCCATTCCCCTGCCCGTGACACTTCCCTGCAGGGATCCTTCGGATAAACGTTGAGATCCACCTAAGCAGAGGTGTCTCATCGGTATAGATATAATATTTTCATCAATCTAAACAGTCGAACACTCTTTTTTCTTCTGCATTCGATTGACATAGGCAGCAACGATTTGAAACACTTTCCTGTAAGTGTCAGCCCTGATACTCATAAGTCGATCACACTATTTCGATCCTGTTATACGAAAGCTGATACCCATATTCAAGTCATCACGTGATTTCACATTTTCCATTACGTTCCTTGTACGCAAGCGTACTCCTCGTCTTTCAAGTGATCTGGCAATTCACAGTGTTGCCAAGCAAGGGCTTGACATTAATGGTTTTCAACCGGAATGTCTCTAAATTCTTAAACAATTGCTTTTGCGGAGCTAGCTTCTAATTTCGCTCATAGGGGGTAGCTCAAGCGTACTATTTGCACTCGCCGTGTTTGAGTGTGCGCAGCTACTTCAAATCGAACCGAAATGAAATCTTTCGAGCGAAGAGCGGAAGCACTCTGACTCATATACACATTCTAGAATGATTGCGATTTTTCTTGTTGTCTTTTAGGAACTTCTAAATTACTTCTCATTTTAGCATATTTATAAGTTCATATATTTTCGAAGGATACTAGGAAAGTAATTAGGAGAAACGAACATTATGAATCATGTGGCCCATGGCGCACGTCGCCAGCAAGGTAAACATATCAAACGAAGTATAAGCAGCAATCTTCAAGCAAAATTTTCTTTTTGGCCTGTTAATTTAATAGCCTTTTTCAGAGGATGGAAAAGCTTTTGCAACTAAAATTGGGATTATCATGATGTTCTTGATGGTATATAAGCGGTCATGTACTGTGGTCACACTTTGTGGTGGAAAATGCAAAAAACTATTATCAATTACGAACACGCTATCTTAAATACCAAGTAAACACATTTTTTGTAAATTTTGAATTTTGCTCTTTTGAAGCGGTACCGCTGACCATTCGTGAGATGGAAAATGAATAACAAGAGATGCACAAAGTTGTCAGAAAAGCATTAATTAGCTTAGTACTGTCACAAATGCATTCCATAAGAAAACTTCTCTTCGGAAAGAGGGATAAGAAGCAGAACTGCGCAACGATTTGTAGAAAATCTTCTCATGACCATCATAGTACACAATTTGCCAGCTTTTGCTTAAATATTCAACACACCAAACACGATGCAGAATCTTTTCGGGACAAATCTTGGATATGGAGCGATAAACAGCAGTTTCTGCCCATTTTTCGTGAAGAGAAATTGCCACAAGCTGATTTAGGAACTTGTTCAGCAGATCAGAAATGCAGATGTAAGATCAGCGTCCAGGCGCGCTTAGTAAATATCCAGTGGCTGGTTATTCTCCTCAGACGTCAAAGGCGTTTACTAAACTTACGCAAGACTACAGGATCCGTTCACGATTATCTTTTACTGTACACCTTCGTTGCAGCCTTTCACTATGAACTAGATATACTTGTTTATTAAGGATATATTTTTTTAGGGTAAGTTAAAGGAGAAACGGTGGGTCAATGTTCGAAAAGCTAAATAGAAAGTGTTCTACAACTGAAATCCAGGAATGGACTGCCGCTGACTGCCAATAATTCAAATTCCTATACTTGTAGAGGGGTTACAAAAGCATGAGCGAGAAACAGTCTTTCATCCATGAGTAGTCACACTACTTTTTTTAAAAAAAAAGAAATCATTGGACCCTGCTTTAATTTTGACCAATTCAACCAATCCTTCTTTGTGAGATGCCACCTGGTTCTAGAACTTTGAACATACTTTGAATATTCCCAGCTGAATTCCTCTCAGATCTACATAGAATAGTCGATTTAATTATAGTGCTTCATGATGGCCGCTGTCTCATGAAGCGTAGCAGGTGCATATCAGAGTCGGGATCTCAGACCTCAGAGGAGCGATCTTAGATCCACCAACTGGTTTATAAGAATACAGTTCTGTAGAATTCGAAAAAAGTGTGTAAACAAAAAAAAGCTCGTCCTACCTAGCGGCAGTTCCGGGATCAGGATCGTCTACACTGGGCAAAAACGTTCGGCGGAACCATGGGTTGATGAACATATCGTTGTAGATGAACATACCAAGAATAAGCAGCAAAAATGCAATAATCTGCAAGAACTTCAATTGCATGCCTGCGGTGTGTATATGTTAGAATTATAGAAGGGAACATGTCCTATTTTCAGTGGAGCAGTATTATCCACACTGAATTTTTTGCACAGGACATTGTAGATTAATTTTCAGCTTCAGTGATGCGTGTCTCAAACCTTTTCTCCAACTTTTTCTTACATACAGGCTTTGATGTCGCGTGTTTCTATGCAATTGCTTCATGTGTCAATGCCTCTTATCTTACTGATTAGTTGAAAAGGTTCGCAAAGTTTAGAATCAATAAATCCTAGTTGTGTGCGAGACGCAAAGAAAATTTGTTTCTTTCTTCTGAAGATTAATGGATTTACTCGATAGAGTCTGGCTACAAATGTACCTGATTTCCTCTACTCAATCTTACAAAAAAATTTTGTTGGCGTTAAGTCGCATTCCCCCGTGGTGGTCTACCGCCTCACCGTGGTGCGGGGTGGCGGTAGACACCACGGTGAGGCGGTAGACCACCACGGGGGAATGGGTGTCGAACTGCGAAGTACAGCGGAGGTTTATCCACCAGCAGGTCTCTTAAGCTGAGAAGGAGTTCGACGTTTCCGGTTTCCCGCATGCCCAGCTAAGAGTGGGCCATGCCAGAAGCACCACCGTCTGGCTGATTCAGTCGCTACCACATAAGGTCAGCGATTGCCTGTGGTGAAAGCTTAGCAGGGCCCTGGCAAGGCACTGTTGAAGTTTGGGGAGATTTCCTTCACTTGTTGCCTGTACAGCATGTAAGAGAAAAAGAAGCCCTGCACACTGGATCACATCTACGGCGTCGGATGTCAT